ATCGATCGAAATAGAGGGTAATCAGAAGGCGCAATGTCTGGTGAATACGGCGGGTGGGGTAGGACCTCCCACTTCAGCGTTTCCAGGTATGTTTTGACCGGTGCCGCGACATGCGGTCGAGCGTTATCATGCAGCAAAATAACCTTATCGTGTCTTTGCTCATATTGTGGCCGTTTTTCTTTTAATGCTCGGCTCAAACGCATCAATTGTCGTCGATAGAGATCTCCTGTGATGGTTTAGTTGGAGCAGCTCGTAGTACCCCCAACTGATCCCACCAAATGCAGAGCATGAGCTTGGAACCGTGTATATTCCGCTTTGGCGTTGATGCTACTGCTTCGCCGGGCTTAACCCACGATTTTTTATGCTTCGGATTACTGTAGTGTATCCACTTTTCATCACCAGTGACAATACGATGTAAAAAACCTTTCCTTTTTTGTCGTTGAAGCAGCTGTTCACACGTGACAATACGCCGTTCGATGTCTCTCGACTTCAGTTCGTACACACCCAAGATCTTTCCTCTTGTATCATTCCTAATGCTGACAGACGTTTTGAAACTATTGTTCGATCAACTCCTAATAATTTTGCAATCGGATTGCGTCTGACATGGATCTTCATCAAGTAATGTTTCCAGTTCTTCGTCTCGAAACTTTTTTGATGCACCACTGCATTCTCTATCTTGAAGATTAAAATCACCATTTTTAAATTGGTTAAACCAATCTCTGCATGTTCTTTCCGACAAAGCATGATCACCATAGGTTTCTACAAGAATTCTGTGCACTTCAGCTGCAGATTTCTTCTGAATAAAATAGTGCACTAAAATTCCCCGCAAAAACGGTTTATTTGGCACGAAATTTGACATGTTTTATGGTACGAAAAGAAAATGTTCTTTATAGGTCAAAGTACCGGCTCTTGTGGATTTTCTACTTGATTTACAGAGCGGCGAGGCGTACGCTGGCGAGAAAGGGAGAGAGAAAGAGAGAGGAAGATAGAAAGAGAAAAAGAGAGAGAGCAATCGATGATGTCACAAAAATAAGTTAAACATCTGCAATCTCTCTCTCTCTCTCTCTCTCTCTCTCTCTCTCTCTCTCCCTCTCTCTCTTCTCTCCCACACCCCCACCACCCCCACACCCACC